AAAAAAAAAGAATTTTATTACTGTATAAGAGTCAGATCTGTAAAATGGCACAAGTCAAAAGAGCAGATGAGAATGTATAGCTGAATCAAGTTAAACGTTTTCCAGATAATTTCTCAAAATATCTAGTTCAGAACTGTCATTTAGCCACCAGATAGCAATGCCCTGCTATCATTGTGCAGATATAAATGTAAATTCCAGGGCTATAACCATACCTGGCTATGAGAGAGGATGAAAATGAGCCTATGACAGAATTTTATTCTATTTTATTTTTAATGATCATTGCTTTTTGTTTATCTCAGAAAGATTTAAGAAGAAATAAAAAAGAGTAGTTTTTGTTCATCTTTTTTTTTTTTTTTTCAGAAAAGTAGTATAGTAAAATGCCAGTTGGTGGTAAATGTGTTTCATATGTAAAAAGTTATTTTTGGTATTTAATTGTTTTTGTTATATATATTGTTTATACTAGTGATTTTCTATCTTAATAGCCTTAGTTTTCATTGTGGGAAAATCTATTACTACTTTTCATTGACACATTGTCAATGAATTACTGATTCAACAAAAATACCAGTCTCTATACTTTTAATGTATTCACATCAACTCTTTCTTGTGTCTTAGCTGTTCAGACTACACTCAAGTTTACATACAGTGAAAAATACCCAGATGAAGCTCCCCTTTATGAAATATTCTCCCAGGAAAACCTAGAAGATAATGATGTCTCAGACATTTTAAAATTATTAGCATTGCAGGTAAGGAAATAGTTTTGTTTTATAGTAGTGATATTATTTCATTGGCCCTAAATATTATACACTAATTTAAGAGTTAGAAAAATGCCATTAARTATTTAAGTAGTACATTTACCAAACCAAATTTAAGATTCATTCAAAGCATCTTTATTTTTTGTTTCTCACTGTCCCTTTAAAGTTCTATTAATAGAAGGTGTGCCTATTTAAAGCTCAGTCCAGCCCCTGACTTATCTGTTCTCTTTAGGTAATAAAAAAGCCCAACAGGTTCTTTAAGTTATAAACACAGTTCTAATTTGGTTCTTGGATTGTCTAGTTACATGTGTAGCTAAAAAGTTAAACTGTGGGTGTATGTTACTAGGGATCAAACCCCAGGGGGCTGGTTTTATAGCTCAGCTGGTAGAGTGCTTGCCTCGCATGTAGTCTATCACTGAGCTATACCACCAGCTCTTTTTACATTTTATTTTGAGACAGAGTCTTGCTAAGTTGCCCAGACTGGTATCAAACTTGTAACCCTCTTGCGTCTTGCAGTTTTCCTGCCTCAGCCTCCCAAGTAGCTGGGATTACAGGTATATGCCACCATGTTCAGCAAAAATTCTAACTTAGGAAAAAATAAAACTTCTACCCCCCCTCACTTAATATTATAGGTTAGTACCCTGCAGTCTGGGAAGAGGCCTGCGATTTTTTTTTTCTTTTCTCCCTGTGTGGCTCTTCCTCACTGTTCTTAGAAATACCAATAATGGCTTATGACCTCTCCAAAAGGAGAAACTTATATGGAAGAAAAAGTGAATATTGGGAAGTTCATACTAGACTAGGGCGGAATGGGCTCTCCACAGTGAGGGCTTATCATGCTTTGGTAGAAAGTTTTCATGGGTTCTTTAGATACAGTAAGGAAGGCAAGTGAAAGATTTTACTCTACCATTTTAAAATCTGAAGTCCCAATTTTGTTTATTTCTAAGAATTATCCAAAAAACATCTTTTAACTTTAGATGTGACTTATATATTCTAAGGACCCATCCATTGTCCTCTGAGTGCTGATTTTATAACAAAAGTATCTGGAGCTATTAGAGAACGAGGCATGAAAAAAGGTCTGTCAGGAAGGAGTTTTTGCTGATGTTGGGCCCTGTTCATTCTGTTTCCCAGCATGAAATTATAGTAATTCTAGCGTAAACACTGTAGAAGACCTGGAATGATTATATTAGTTTGTCCCACATTAATGTTCATTATTCAATCTGAGTGAATTTTTTTGTGTGTTTAGTATACTATTATTATTTATACTCCAATTTTCTCCTTTCAAAAAGGCAGTTTTGATTTCTTTATACTTACCTGACATAAGATATATTGAGGGAATATTGTACTTTTTCTCAAAAAACAGTATTAATATCCAGTTATCAAAAACAAATTTATATTAGGAAAAAAAAAGTCATGAAGAAAATAAAAATGACTCTCAAACCCACCAGTTGGGTATAATTATCTATTATTTATGATATAGTGCCAGATTTTTTTCTTACACTTATATACCGTCTATAATGTTTTATAACATCTCATTTTTCACATAACAATGTATGTGGACATCTTCCCTCATTTTTGATAACTGCATAAAATTTCATTGTATGTATATTTAAGACATATTCATTTTTGCTTGATTTAATATACAGTTCTTTTACCATTCTTATATAACACTATTTTTAAATCCTTAGAGCAGATCTTCCATTATATCTCTAGTGTCTGGCATAGGAGGTACTCAAATGTTTGTTGAATAAACGAAAATAATGAACCTCTGATGACTTTACTAGTCTGATGCTTTCTAGAAGTCAAATTGGTAGATCTATAAGGTTTGCATGTTTAACAATTTCATTCATACTGATAAAAAGTTGATTTTGCCAGTTTATGACCTCATGATAGCCATTCAGATATCTGTTTCTCAGTTTTCCTAATACTACATATTTTCATTAAGAAAAAAAATGTTGATAAGATGAAAACAGTATATTTTTATAATTTGCATTTCTAATACTAGTGATGTGGAACTAGTATGATTTCTGAGTTGTTTAGTTTCCATGAATGTTTGTTCATTGATATATTTATTTATGTTTTTGCTGTTCTATTGAAATACTTAATTTTTATAAAAGATACCCTACTGAGATTTGTTAATGAAATGTGTCAAGCATTAGGTTAAGTGACACCATCCTTGGTCTCATAGATTTTATACTCTGTTGAGGAATTTGGACTGACAAGCTGGATATCATTATTTTATATGAACAATGCAATGATGGTGAAATTCAGGATTGTGTGGATGGTCATAGACTTGAAGCACTGGAGAAGCTTCCAAGAGGAAGTTGAGATCTAAAGGAAGAGTTTTCCAGACCATCAAGGGAATGGAAGAGTTTTAAGAAAGAGGATCAAGATTGTTAAAGGAACAAGCTTGAGAATGGGGGATGAGTGGTGAGGTGGACAAAGAGATAGTGAGAGGTTCTTCCCAGAACTTCCAGTTATACAGCATCAGTGGAATTTAAAGTTCAATGCTCATGGTGACAAGAGATGAAACTAAATAAGTCACCCCATTCTTTAGAAGGGTCTTCTAAACTGTTTAAAAATATGGACTTGGTTCTGATTGGTTTGGGAAGCTGTTGAGGAAAGCAAGAGACTGACTAGATCAGTTTTATGTTGCTTCAGCATATAAATTAGTTTAGCCTTGTATGTTTGTATATGTAGAGTGGTCTAGAGAAGTTATGTCAGGGGGCAAGGTCATAGGTTTAAGAAGATCAATTAAAGTTTCTTGTATTCCAAACTGAAAATGATGGTGTCCTGGGATAGGGAATTAACAATGTTGTTTGAAAACAATGGGCAGAACAACAGAGGCAGAGACTGATTTTAAATGGGTAAGGATATTCACACTGGGTAGAGGATGATGTGGTTTTCTGAGATTGAGAACCCAGGAATGGGTTTTGTGGAAAACATTTAGTATTGAAGTGACTGTTGGATATTAAGTCACCCTCTAGTGGGCAGTTTCAGTATGGGTTCACACTCACGAGAGACTCTTATTACTCATAAATTTAGGATGCTTAGCATAGATGCAGCACATTGAGGAGGATTACAGGAGTTAGCTTGAAGCGCCTTACAAAGGGCACAAAAGTACCCACAGTCTTTATTATAGTAATAGTTTAAAAATTCAAGCTGGCATCTAAATTCTGTTATTTTAGCTTTTAATACTCAAAACGGTAATTTAAAATACTGAGAAATGCTTGAGAAATGTTGTTACTCATACTGTAGAAAAAGGTTTTCTGAATTCTACACATATGATTATTAAACACAATTTACTGAAATACGTGCTTTATGTTGGGTATGACAAATGACATGACTTTTAGAGGAAGATCTCATTATCTCATATATAATCACTTCTTAACATGTTCATTTATTCTAGTGTATGAATATATGGTGTAACTGAATTGTAATCATGTTAGAAACATGTCTTCAGTGATTACACTAACACATTTTATCATAGGCTACTTTCTATTTTTCTAAGAAGTGTGTTGTTCTTTACCACCTTTTTGTTGCATAGGCTGAAGAAAATCTTGGTATGGTGATGATCTTTACTCTAGTGACARCTGTGCAAGAAAAATTAAATGAAATAGTAGATCAGATAAAAACTAGAAGAGAGGAAGAAAAGAAACAAAAAGAAAGAGAAGCAGAAGAAGCAGAAAAGGTACATTTATTCTCTAAATCTGTTGTACATGGTTAATTACTACAGGTTTTTCTACATTGGAAATTTTGATTTGTTTTGAAGTTACAAAAACAAACATTTTGTAAATTTTTTGAAGAGTTTAGAAGTCTCATTTGGTTGGTGGAATAACATGAGTAATGAATTCTAGTCAGTTAGATAAGTAAAGCTCATACCAGTAAAACCAAGAAATGTAAATATTTTACTTATCATATAAAGTTTAGAATGATAAAGTCGCTGTCACAATGATCTGAGAACCTCAAATTCTGAAGCGAAGTTAACTATGATTTATTCTTATAAATTTATATGTATTCAACACATATTAAAACTGACAGCATTCTTCTTAATGGTAAATATCAGTGGTAAATATAGTAACTACATTGTATATTATTTTTGTTTTTTGTAATAAGAATAAAAAAGAAATGGGCTTTTCCAGAGCGAGTTGCCAAAACCAAGAAAGTAGCCAGAACAGGCAGAAATCAAATTAAATGTTTCAAAATTTCAAACATTAATTTTTCTTATAAATTGTTTCTCTTCTAAGTTGTATTTATTTAACTAGAAGATATTGTTACGCTTCATTTGTGAAACTGTCATGTCAGTCTGGTGAGTTATGTCATTTTTATTTTCTAAGCAACTATTCCATGGCACTCCTGTTACAATAGAGAATTTCTTAAGTTGGAAGGCCAAGTTTGATGCAGAACTCTTGGAAATTAAAAAGAAACGGATGAAAGAAGAAGAGCAAGCAGGAAAAAATAAATTAAGTGGTATGATACTCCCCTACCCCATATTTTTTTCTGTTACCCTCAAATATTTTGGTATCCTTTCTTGTGCAGCAAGAGGATTATTTGAACAGATTTTTATAAGACAGTAATATTCGTAGGCATCTAAGACAAAAAGAAAATATATCAACATGATGTTATTTTTTTAAAGTATAGTTTATAATTAATTTTTCCTCCAGTACTGAAGATTTATTCCAGTGACCTTCTATCACTGAGCCATGTCCCCAACCCTTTTTCATTTTTTATTTTGACACCGGGTCTCACTAAGATGACAAGGCCTATCTTGATTGTGGTCCTTCTGCCTCAGTCTCTCAAGTAATTGGGATTACAGGCATGTTTCACTGTGCCTGGCTGTGAGGAATTTTTATGTCTGATTTCTGGTACAAATATTACAAATAATAGATCTTGAAATACAGGAATATTTAAGGTAATAAACTTTATATAGAGGCAATATCATTTTTCTAGGACTCTAGATAAATTAGATTTATCACTTGTTCCATTTTAATGTGAATATATTTCATATACCGCTAGCTACTGAATGAATTAATAAATTCATTGAAATTTATCAGAAGATGGATTTTCAGACTTGTTTTCCTTAATTGTTACATTTTTTTTTTCAATGTTCGTAGGGAAAGTGAATGAATACTATGCCATTTTAGTTAAATATACTACTTGTGTTCTTTTAGGGAAACAGCTATTTGAAACAGATCATAATCTTGACACATCTGATATCCAGTTCTTGGAGGATGGTAAGATAATATCAGAATTCCATATATGTATAATGTTGTCTTTAATTTTAAACCATAAAAATCAGAGTGATAATTCAATGTAAATTTTTCCTCCTAAGACTGATGAAAAATTCATTTTGAAGCAAAAATTCTAACATTTGATCAATTAATACATTTGAACTGAATATTTTAATCCTACAGTAATATACTATTTAAAAGTTTTATGATAATTTAAGCAATCTCAAGATAGGGATAGACAATTACCGGGAAAAGAAAACAGGCCCATTGTGACTCAGAGGACCTGTTTCCCCCAAATTTCTCGTATCACAACTAACTTGCATAGTTTCTCATGGAGCTTGTCCTCTTTGCTTTCTTTATCCTCCTTTGTTTCCTACCCCTTACCTCTTTTGGTTTTCCATCTATCCATTATCCATCCATACACTTATAAATATTTATTGTATAACTTGGACTCTGAGATTATAGTAGAGAATAGTATAAAGCAATTTCCTGTCTTCAAGGAGTTTATGGCCTACTTATATTTTTTAAAAAATATGTTTTTAGTTGTAGATGGACACAATACCTTGATTTTATTTACTTATTTTCATGTGGTGCTGAGGATAGAACTCAATGCCTCATACTTGCAAGGCAAATGCTCTGCCACTGAACTAAAATCCCAATCCTGGCCTACTTATATTTTTATACTGGACTCTACACTCAGTTGCAACTCTAATATGACCCTAGATTTCTGTACTTTGTGAAATTTCTGCAAGCTCCATCTTGCTAGGTGGGGATCTTCTAGCTTTTGGCCTTTCAAACTGCTTCTGCTTTCTCTGATATAGAAGGTTAGAATTATAAAGGTGTTATGTTTATAGAGGTTAAAAAGCAATCTTGAAGGGGCCCACTGCTAATCATTCCTTTTAACCTTGCTGGTACTCACTTTTTTTTTTTTTTTTTAATGTATCTTATTACCTTCTCTGTAGCAGAGTTTTAATTGTCTAATTTTTGTAGTCTGGGAAAAAAATAAGTAAAAACCTAGCAAGCCTGTTCCTGTCTCTCTCTTTCTCTTTTTTTTTTTTTTTTTTAATGTATCTTATTACCTTCTCTGTAGCAGAGTTTTAATTGTCTAATTTTTGTAGTCTGGGAAAAAAATAAGTAAAAACCTAGCAAGCCTGTTCCTGTCTCTCTCTTTCTCTTTTTTTTTTTTTTTTTGAGAAGTACTAACTCCAAAGCTTCATCTCATTCTCTCAGAACAAGTTTTAGTGTCACTCATCCTTCATTCCTTTCCTTTTGTGATGGATCGAATTCCTCTTCATATCCAGTAAGTTACCAAAACATACCTATTGATTTTGCCTCTGAAATGTCTTCTCATCACTTTCCTTCCCTTACTTGAAGGTTTTATCATTTTCACTTGGACTTTTGTATTAGCCTCTGAAACTGTATCCCCAAATCTGTTCCTCCTTCTAATGTCTTTATCTGTTTTATTGTTGCTGCCTCTGAGATGGAATTTCTAAAACCTATATTTAATCATAAACCTCTCTTTTGAAATTTTTTCTTGGTTTCCATTAGTTTGAAAAAAAGTTGACTTATGCTGTCCTCTGTCTGACCCTTATCCATGTTTTATCTGTTGGTATTTTTCCTAAAAAATCTTGCCTTCCAGTTAGACATATTCTTGCCTTTGTATACATTTCTACCAAGAATTACTTTCACCTGATCTTTACTTCTTAGTCAATTCATATATATCACAAAGACTTCATCTGCTCTGCGAAACCCTACAGAGACAGTTATTCTTTGACTAGGGCTTAGCATTTTATATTTTTCTTTCTGATCTACTCATAGGCATGAAACAACACTTGTTCTCTTTATATTCTCATTACAATGAATGTCAGTAAGTGAATCTGAGAGGGAAGGAAGGTATTACAATGTGTGGGGATTCAATAGAGCTATACTATCCTTTATTTATCTACTTCAGACAAAGTGAAGAGTGATATGTTTAATGGGGAACCTGGCTATTGCTTACTGTAGGGCTCAGACAGGTGGAATCTTGAGAAGTGATACTATTGGTTACAAGGAAAACTGGTGGAGAGAAAAGGTCAAGTTCCATCTGTCAATTAATTAGCAAGTATAAGAGAGATTCCTGGTACAAGTCTCATTGATAGTTAACTTACTATAACCAGGGTAACATATCTTCAGTATATAACATGCCATATTATAAATATGCATTCTATGATAATCCCTTAATAACAACAAGAGATTTTTGAACTGTGACTTGGAGGAATGAAATTGCTTTTAAAGTGTCTCTACTGACAAAGAAAGATGTGATTTGCATTAGTAGTTTGGAATTTCGTAAGTGATACCTCCTATATACACTGAGAAGCTTCTGTCTGGTAATCCAGTGAGTTCTATTTTTGATTTTTTGGAGTATAAAGCTGAGAGGGAATTTTGTTTTGCTTTTTGCAGCTGGAAACAATGTGGAGGTAGATGAGTCTTTGTTCCAGGAAATGGATGACTTGGAGCTGGAGGATGATGAAGATGACCCAGACTACAATCCTGCTGACCCAGGGAGTGACTCAGCAGACTAATGGACTGTCCCCATCTGCAGAGAAGTTGACTGCCACAGCATCTGTGGCTATGCTGAGAGGGTTTTGATTTTCCTTTCTTTTTTTCTAAGAAAAAAAAATAATTTTCAGGAGAGTATTCTTCTGATCACTTTCATCACTGACTTAATAAACTGACCTTAAAGTTTCAAATATAGAATGTTCATGTCTTCTAATTGATGAGCAGAAGATTACATATTTAAAGGTATTTAGTGTTGAAGAGCGATCCTTCTAATAACACCAAGACTTGAGGGTAGGCTGTGGCATGTGAGGGTTCATACATGAAGAATCAGAATAACTCAGAATTTCTCTGCTTGTGATCCTTGTTTCTTTGGTTTCTAATGTTATCATTTGTATTAGAAGGTTGAGGCAAATACAGAATTAATCCTAGATCCTTCTGACACAATAAATTTAAGTCTTAATAAACCAGAACCCATATTATAGGCAGGGAAAAAAATGGATTTCATTATAATAGTAGTATTGGAGTGAGATTTTGTGGTATTTTTAAGAGATGTTTATTCTTAGGTCACTTCTCAGGTAAGACTTTGTAAGTCCCAGTCTGCATTTTTAAACAGTGAAATTGCATACCAGTTCTACAGGTGATTCTGATGCACACTCCTGATTGAACTACCGTCTTGCAATTGTGACATCTGTATGTTATAGTGTTTCCCTGCTGCTTTCTAATTAGCCAGTCTGAAGTGGTCTGAATTATAAGAGTTATATACTGTGTGCAAGGGGAACACACATCAATCTCCATATATGTGTAAGACTATCTTTGTATTAATTTGAAATGATTGACATAGGGGTACCTTATGGGAGAGCCAGGCTTCATGTGAGTTTTCCAGTCTTTGAAGCCATGGAGGATTAATCCAAATCGAGTGGGAAATCATTTGTGCTGTTGTAAAGAGCTGCCTTTAGTCAAAAAAGACCCATGCCACATACCTGCAAACAAAACTATATCAATGCCACATTGACTTTTGGACTTTTGTTATTAAGAGCCAAATTGTCACTGGGTAATTTATTACTTTTTTAAGGAAACTTCTAGTCAGTCTTGATGCCAGAGCAATAGAACAGAATAGCAGGGAGAGATCCAAAAATAGTTACGTGAGATTTTGTTTTTCCTAAAAGCTCCTGATGAAAGCTGTTTAAAAGATACATAAGAATGTGGAAGAAGCAGACTAACTGGGGCTAAAACAGCAGTGAGGAGCCATGTGATACTGAGTTTAGTGAAGACTTGACCTCGCAGTATCAAGAATGATTCCCCGGCCTAGGGATGTAGCTCAATGGTAAAGTGCTTACCTAGTACGTGTAAGGTTCTGAATTCAATCCCTAGTACTGCCAAAAAATAAAAAAGATTTCTCTCTCCCCTTCATGTTGTTTTTAAGCATCAGTTTTATACATTTCCTCTAGGTATTGAAATGGCTTTCCACTTTTGTCATTTCAGACTTTAGGCAAAATCTGTGATAAAATAAATATAACCTGGTTAGTTCTAATATCATTTCCAAGTCTTTTCATGTAGGAATTCAGTTTGCTCTTGGCATTATTTTGGGAATTAAACCAAGATTCAGCTTCTCAAACCAGAATACACAGACTCCCAGGATGAGCAATGGCATGACTAATGGTATATGAAGCAATAATTAGCATGTCTTGGATTATCTGTTTTTTTCTTGGACTTAGGCAAATCTTTGTTTAGCTTTTCTACTTGAGCCAAGTTAAATTTTACTAGGTTAAAAATAAAAACTCTGTATTCATTATAGTGTACTCTAATAATGCCTGTCATGGAGCAAGTAGCTAGTATTGTTGAATGAATGAATTATAGAATAGAATGCAAAGTGATGTACTTCCAAAGATACAACGTGGGACTTCAAAGAAATTTCTTTTTCGCCATCTACATCTTTGGACAGTAGTAGATTTCACATTACTTGATGTACTTTTGCCAGTAGGGCTCTCCTAGGTAAAAGGCTGAACAGGTTGTGATCTAAGGCAGCACATTAAATGGTTACGTGGACATTGCCTGCTTGGGATAGAATCAAGGGGAGTGATCAGTCACATCTCAGTGGAAAGAATGAGTTTAATGATGGTATTGTCACAAACTCAAGATACATTTGCCAAGAAGGAAAGAGATGCATCTATACCAAGAAAATTATTGTGGGTTTTCAGTATTTGTGTGCTTGCACTTTCATTAGGTGTGTTGAAGTACAAATGAAAAGCAGGGGAACTGCCTCAATATATGGTGTTTCTCTTTTGAAGAATATACATATCAGATAGTAAAAGTAGGAGACATTATGTGATTTTGTGTCAAAATGAATCACACTCTTTAATAATTTTAGGGTGTGATCTTAGAGACCATTGAATGGTAGGTAAACTATTTCAGAAGAAAGTGTTAATTTGTGTAACTGTAAATGCGAATGCCACCAATTAGCTGTTTTAGGAACTGTGTCAGAGTGCCATTAAAAAATGCTGCCAAAATGGTAATTGTTAGGTTTTCAGGTTTCATTTTAAGTGGAATCATGTGACCTTTTGGTCAAGTTACTTGTGTCAGAAGGTGGCTGACATTCTAATTGTTGGTCAAACTCATCAAAAGACTTATAGAAATGGCCTATGATGATTTAAATCTTACATCTAAACTTATTTTGCATTATCCTGTGTGTGACTTATCCTCAACCCAGTTTTCATTTTTGGTCCAACTTTTAAAAATTTCATTTTCACAAGCACTTTGGAAAGCAAGAAAGATACACACAAATTTACTTTGTTGTTGCTGATTGGGAATGTTCACTTTGAAAGATCTGTTAACTAAGCTGACTTATGAGCCATGAGCCAGTAAGGTGAGCAGCTGATTCAGTTAACACTTGAGTGCTCTGTGTGCCAGCTGGCCTTTGTGGTAATGTGAATGTCCTTTCCCTCCTCACTGAAAGGAAATAAAATAATGCAGTTTGGCCCCGTGTTTTCATCTGATCAGCACTTTATCCACTTGTAGCCATACCAAATTATAGATTAGGTTCTGTTATAACCACTTTCAAAGACACTCTGCAATACGTCACAAGTGAGCACACCAACACAAATGGTGTTGTTTGCAGTCCTGAACCACCAAGTTAAGTGGCATTTCATTGTTTCTCTTAATTCTGTGATGCAGCTAAATATTTTAGGCATACTAAGCCAAATGAGAAGAGAGCACTGGGTGGAAGAGGAGATAGGAAGAGTAACAGAAACAGACTGATTCATACTTTTGGAAAAGTATAGTCTCTGAATGAGGCAAATGAGAAAAAGGGTTGTTTTCAAAGAACTAAGAAAATTGTTTCCCATAGTTAACCAGATCTTTTCATTTCCTTTTACATTTAAGTAATGTTTTTAAATAATTGTTGTATTTTCCTGCCTTTTGGCTTTTTCAGTTAGGCATTTGCTCATCCTAAACATACTCAAGAGTTTCTTCTTCTAGTTCCACCTCATCTCTACATTTGCAACAATTTTTCTTTGAAAGAACACTCTGCTAGTTTTTCTGACTTTCTTTACTTGCACAGAGGTGAAGAGTATTTACTTTTGGAAATTCTTTACTGTTGAAACTTTTTTATCTGAACAATGCACCATGGGATTCGTTGACTGAAAATAAGTCAGAAACAAAATATATTTAGTTCCCCCACTTTTTTTGAAGGTATTTAGTCCCCCAAAAGCAGGGGGGCAGGGGTGGGGCATAAACTATCTCATGATGCACGTATATGCCAGTACTAAAGTAAATTTTTATAGCAACAACAAAATCAGTTATTAGAAAATGAGAAACAATAGCTTTGATGAAGTTTGCATTTTAAGCAAATCATATTTGCCACTATTCTCTTTCCTTGCTATTATTAACTAATTTTATGGGAGATAAAGATAAGTTTGAGATAGGAAGTCTGCACATTTGTTTATTATGTGGGAAGGTTGGTGTTTTTCTGTTTATCTTCATTGGAAATCAATTGATAATGAACTTGAGCCAGTGCTGAGAGGCTTTAGCGCAAGAGAAAACAAGAAGTAAGAGTGAGGATTTAGTATTTAAAAATTAATATGTTAGTTCACCAGTTGTGTTGGCACATTTGTTAGTATGAAAATGTATGATACAGTTGTTTAGAATGGTGAGGATTGAAATAGTCATGCACAAGTAGTGTGAACTTGAAGAAAATTCACTGAACCTGTCTGATTCTTGACTCATCTGTAAGGTGGGGATGATAATATTTAATGATTCATTTTATAGAAAGAGAAAATTGTTGCGTTAGTGGTCAGTTACAGTAAAGCTTTTCACTGGGCTTTGCCTATAAATGTTTTCTGATGCATCTTCTTTCACAAGCCCTACACAATTGAATTGCAATGCTGTATTCTTCTCCACCTTCCTTTGTCATGATATCATCAAAACATCTAAATCCAGAAAAAGTCAAAAGTTTATTTAGCAGTGTGCATCTTCTTTAGTTTGCACAAATGTTGCTCTGCCTTCCCACCTGTGGCAGCCAACCTGCCTCAAGTTAGAATAATTCTGAAGAGTAGAATAGGGGGCTCTTTATCTATTTAATCAACTGTGGCCTCTATTGCAACTGCATTTCAGTTCAGCTTCTCCCTTGCTGGGTCATGCTTGTTACACTCCCACAAAGATGGTTCCTTGGAGTTCTTCCCAGCCTATATACCAATTCGTCTCTTCCCTGGGAGAACTCAAACTAAGGCATCTTATACAGTAATTTAAATTAAAAAATCATGGTGACTCAATGGCAAATGGTAGTAGATCAGAACTGGCTGAGAGCAAATTTGGTCAGGAGGGTCTTGAGCTAGTGAGTGCCTAAGCTAATTCCCACTGACCCCAGGTTGTGCTAAGAAGAGTGGTTCTGGGTGGGCAGTGGAAATATGTGGGAGCATTTTTGAGTGTTTGGATACACCAAAGTGGGTAGGAGCCAGTGATACTAGACATTTTCTGATATGCATAGTCCCACAAGATAAAAAGCTGTTCCAAATGCTGCACAAATTTCTAATATTTCTCTAGACATTCATGACTGTGGAAAAACGTGTAAAATTGAGTTCAGAACTTCATTCCATTTTACATATAAACTCAAAGTTTGTTTTGTAAACTTTTAATATCCACTGAGTGTTTTAAGAATATAATTCCATACAAATTGAGGAAAGATTACATTGTTGTGTTCAGAAATTTATCAAGAGCTTATTAATATTTAACAAAGTAGCATTATTGATTCCAAGGCTTTATATGATACATGAATTGCCAAGACACTGTATATATTTTATACATTTGTAGTTCTTGAATTATAGTGATTCTTCTTATAGGTGTAATAATTTGTAATTTATTATATTATAGTTAGTAGTATATGCGTATTTCACATATAAATATATGTAAATCTATTTTATTACACTCATTTTTCAGGTTTTCAGGTTTTTAGTTATGGTATTGAGTTTTTTCCAAATTGCATGTATATATTTAGGTCATGCTATCTGTGGATTTTATCTCAGGACAGTAAAGGGTTTAGAGCTTTTTTAAAAGTGTAAATGAAATGACAATAAAATACTTTAGACTCACTAAAATGATTACAATTAAAAGACAAACAATCTCAATATGGTGGGAGTGTGGAGCAATTGAAACTCACAAATGATGCTGGAAGTGTAAAAAGGTATAATCATTTTGAAAAACAGGAGTTTCTGATATGTAAACAATTCATTTTCTCTAGGACAGCTGATTTTATTTTTCGGTATTTATGCGAGAGACTTAACATCTATCTAAAAACAAAATCTTGTTCAAGACTATTCATAGAAATTTTATTCATGAAAATCCTGAACTAGAAACAACCTAAGCCATCAATGGGTAAATGAACAATTTATGTGATTTTTATACGAAATTCGACTAAGCAATTACAAAAGAACACATCCTGGGATATATTAGAAAACAGATGAATCTGAATTTTGTTTTTTAGCAAAAGATGATTGATACCCTTTATATGAATTTTCAGGAAGCAAAACCCATGTTGTAAAAAAACTGAAATAATGTTTGTCTCAGATATGGAAACTGACTGGAAAAGATTTGAGATGATGGAACTGTATATACTTTATAAAATCCATAATCCATGTGTTAATATATGTATTTTTTAGTATGTCTATTATACTTCCATTAAAATAGAGTATTGTGGGGAAAATAAAATGGGGAAATACAAGAGATAAGGACATAACAACTTATGGGAATCATTGTTCTAGGACATAAAGAATTTCCACCAAGCTCCTGTCAAAGGATGAAGAAGGGCCTGGGGTAGGGTAAGGAAGTTACTCAGTGAAGACTTTTGAGACCTCAGACAAGGCAAGGTCAACTGTTCCCAATTGTAGTTGCCAATTTCACATAAGAGATACCATTGCTAGATGCCTAGGTGGAAGAAGACACATTTAGTGAAGGTCAGCAAAGATCAAGGAGACAGAACACAAAATGTGGACACTAAGCTTCCATGTCCTGTGCCATTTATGGAAAGAGAAATAGAAAGGGAAGATTCATTGACAGGAGAACCACCCTGACAGGGTGTTTAAATTGGCTGGATATTTACTTGAAGTCACTGTTTAACACTGATGGTGTTTTGTGAGATTCAGTCTGTAGGTTGAATCTATTTTTTTAAACGATGATAATAATGGAGAATTAAGAATAAAATCACTGGGTAGAAAATAACATCCCCTATCCCATTGCAGAGTCATAGAGCTACAATCCTTAGCAAGTTGTAGGAGATTGAGAGAATAATTAAAGTCCTGGACTTAAATTTGTATCAGTGCTGGAAGGTGCCTCCTTGGGAGCAAATCACTCAGCTAGTGAGTGAGCAGAGCACAGCACTATTGAAGAGTCCCATGAACATGGAAATCTTGTAGGTCCTGCAGTGAGTTACACTTCAACAATGTTCATTATTTATCAAAGATAGGAACTGTGTTGAAGTAAATGCAATTAATTTATTTTATTTTTGGTATTGTTTATGATGAAAAAAAAGCACATCTTCAGTTTCTCTGACATGGTTGTGAATGAGAGATAATGAGACTAATGTGACTTTCACTTTCAATTATCATATGAGGCCAATACATTATCATTAAATAAGAAATATTTTTGTACTTTTTTCTAAGCATCAAATGTACTCATAATAACTGTACTGTGAATATATAATTAATGGTAAATTTAAATGCCTCTTTTGATCATATAAAAGACACTATTGCTCTTCAGCCAAATAGACTAAATTCTCGTGAGATGGCAGTGTTCATGAGTGCCACTTACTGGATGACATATTTATGGTGCTCTAGCTGCCAGTATTATTATCTGTTGATGGCTCCTGGGAGCAAAGGGACACAAAAATAAAAAAAAACAAAAAAGGAAAACTTTGCCCTCCCCATAATAGGTTCTTCTTTGAGTTTTGTTTCCCCTCCACAATCTTCCTGCCTTTGCTTAATTTTCTGTATCTTCAGCTACTTGTATTTTTGTTATTTGCCTAGAATTTATAGATGTTTGGCAGATGGTCTCAAAGGGGGTTAAGTTGTCAAAATGGTATGGGAAATTGAATGGCACGGTTTGGGTTGTAGTACTGTATGAATCTTTGAATAACCACACTGAGCTTTAACCTCCTGTAAGCTGGATTTATTTGAGAAAAAATCCTGGTTTTTTAGGTCGGTTTCTCTTCTATATGGGTACATTTTTTTTCACCCACAACTGGCACCTATAATTTTCCCTTGGAATCTGTGTTTTCTTGAATTCCCTACTTTCCCAGAATTCCTGATTTTTAAAGGTTACATTTGTATTGAATTTAAACTTCATCTTCATCTCCATTTATCCAAGATTCTAGAGGTGAGGGATTCCTTATTTTATCCATCAACACCATTGAAAGGAGAGAAATAGATAGACCCTTGACCTCACCTTCTTTTAAATTTTTTTTTTATTCTCAGTGGACCTTTAATCTTTTTAAATTAATTTGTATGTGGTGCTGAAAATTGAACCCAGTGGCTCACACATGCTAGGTATGTGCTGTTCCACTGAGCTACATACAACCCCAGCCCAGACCCTTGACCTTATTAAAGAGTGACCTGAGAGGTTGAGACTTTCCCAGAAAAGTGTAAACTAGTGTGCTTATGTTTTATGATAAAATAAGGTATATATAAATGAAAATTCATATCCCTTTTCTAGATCTTTTTAAGGGTCCTGTGTTTTTCAGGTTCTATATAGATGTTTGGCTTAAGAAACATTATCTACCCAATTTCCTAAACAGGTACAGGGAAGATTTTCTTTAATCCTTGGTATGACATCCATCAAATTCAGTCTGTAGGGGGCATACTTGATCCTTCCCTTCCCGAGATTCTCAGGGATAGGCCACTTCTGCCCATTTCTGAGGAGGGAACATTAAAATAAACATCTAAAATCTAATCAGTCCTTATTGTCAGTGGTTTTCTAAGGGCCCAATGCTTTATTCTCTTTCTTTCTTCCTCTTGTTATTTTGTGTCTGGGCACAACATTGAATATTCCCTAATTTTTAAACTTTTGCTAATTATGAAATAATGTTTTGTCCATTTAGTTACTACAAGATTTTTTCTGCTCTTTGAAATTTTTTTCTTATTTATTTTATAAATCACATAAATGTATGGTAAAAATCAGAAAAATGTACAAATCCTATGTACACTGTCACACAAATATTCCCAAAATGGACACTACTGAGATCAAGAGAAAAAAATAAACCTAACATCCCAGAAGTGCTCTCATTTACCTGTTAAGTTACTACATTATATAAGGTGAACACCCACCTTCTAAAACCATCATTTGTTGCACCTGTTTTTGAATCATATAAGAAAACATGCAATATCTGGCTTTTTTCCACTGAATATTATATTCTAGACTTGTGTAATTTTCAGAGAGTTGTAATTCATGCTTCTTTATAGATAATTTGTTTCATAATGTGAAATGCCAGGATTTATTTATTTGAATGTACATGGATATTGGTTTGTGCTATGGTTTGGGTAAGTGTCCTCCAAAAGACCCCCTCTGTTGAAAGCTCCATTCCTACCCCCTAGTGCTCTTGGGAAGCAGAGCAACCCATTGGGTCTAGATGGAGGAAGTTAAGTCATCAGGGCCATTCCTTTGGGGAATATTAGGACCCGGGACTTTTCTTCTTTCTCTATTTTTCCTTCCCAGATGCCTTGAAGGGAGCAGCTTTACTCCACTACACACTGCCCATCATGAAATAATGTTTCACTACAACCCATAATCCACTGAGTCAAGTGACTGTGTCTGAAACCTCTGAAACAATGATCCAAAATGGACTTTTCCTTTCTTATGAATTTATTATCTCAGGTATTTTGTTATAATAACGGAAGGACAAGTAACACAGGTTGTTTCCATTTGATGACTTTGTATGGTGCTACCCTTAAAGCCTTATAAATATTAAATATTCAACTGTTAAATTTCTGTGATGTAATTTTATTCAGTGATACGTTATGGATAGAACTTTTGTTGTGGTGACAGTGGTGTTTCAGTACTAGGGAATAAACACAGGGGAGTTCTACTACTGAACTATATTCCCAAGCTCCCTTTCCTTTTCTAAAACTTTTGAGACAGGATCTCTATATGGAGCTGAGGCTGGCTAGAACTTGYTATCCTCTTGCCTCAGCTTCCTGAGTCCTGAGGTTACAGGTGCATGCCATCCTGACCAGCCAGAAAAAAACTAGTGCAAATTATGATCTGTAAAATTATTAAAAAGAAGTACCTGTTTATGTAGGATTTCTCCATTTATTCTATATCACATTTGAATATCCACATTGATTTTGAAACCAAAGAATTAGAATTTAAGTACAAGAATAAAATTATTTTTAATGTTTAATTGATCCTAAGTTTAATGGTGGGTAAAGGAAAATACACAATACAGAATCATCTCTCAAGATATTTGCAAGTCATGTTTTATGCATTCTGTTTTGCCATTTTCATGCAGGGTACCAAAGCATCAAAAGCAATTTAATTTCTGATTTTCAATTTTAATTATTAAAGTAAATTTTTTTTTAATTTTAAAGAATTCATGGCAACTAATCCAAGCATAGTTTATTTATTTTGTTAATTATGTTTTATAATTAGTAATTAAGTAGGCATAAATTATTATGTAGGTTAAGATATAGCCTCTGATTAGAGTTTATATGATTCTTTTATGGTTTGATTAGAATTCTACTCCTCATTTATATCCCAGATGAATTTCAGGGGAACGTCTTTCATTTCCCTTTGGAATATCTGGTCAAATCTTTCATTCTGCTCCACAGTAAAATGATGTTTCCAATCTCCAATGGTACCTAATGGGATAAGAACATGAATGGCACTTTGGTGAATAAAGAACACTTCATGTTAAAGACTGCCTCAACCAATGTGTCCCATTGTCCCAGATGTGGAACACCTGTCAAATTTAAGTGGAGCAACCAATATACCTCTTGTGGTAACTTTGTAATAATATGTGGATATTATTATGTTCACAGAATATAAAATTGGAAGTTAATGGATTAATCAGTTTTCAACTAAGCTAAATATTTGTTCATGCCCACAGGATTGGAGACCTCATCTTTTCTTACACAGGAATGATTGAATAAAGAATCTAGGAACAMAATAATGCAGTAAATAGATTTAAAGTTCACTTCACCATATGTTAGCCTTTCCCCCTATGTGATCCTTAAGAGGAAAAAACTATACAGGATATGACTATATTAGAATTTTACAAGTATGTTTTCGTATATCTACTCTTGTATATATACTAAGTGAACGTCACACTAAGTGAACCACATTTATCAACTGTAATATAGTTCTTACTAAAACCCTCCAAGATAAGTATTTCTTCCTTTTTAAATTTGAAAAAAATGAGACTCAAATATTTTCAACTAACTAAATCAAATTCATATACAGCACCAGAGCTTCCCTTTCTGCATCTATATTTTATACAAGATTAAACCATCATTATGCCATTCTTTTTTTGGGGGGAGGGAGGGGGTGACCGGAGATTGAAACTCATGGGTACTCCACCACTGAGCCACTCCCCAGCCCTATTTTGTACTTTATTTAGAGCCAGGGTCTCATTGATTGCTTAGCACCTTGTTTTTGCTGAGGCTGGCTTTGAACTTGCATTCTTCCTGCCTCAACCTCCTGAGCTGCAGGGATTATATTATGCCATTCTTAAGTGAAAAATAACTTGGCATTTTCAGCTATCAGGTTAACTTGTGTAGACATTATTATTGGTCTTTGGAAAAGATAACAAGCTCTTAGGGATATGAGAATTGCTTTTTATCTGCTGTAGCTGAGGAATGAAAAGAGAGAATTGATAATAAATGTCCTCAAAAAATAAGAATTTTAAAATATATCAATWTCTAGGGCAATGTCCATAAGATGTTTATATAATTGTTCATAAATTAATATCGATCATCCTATTGGTAAATTATGAGCCAATTATGATATAAAATGTGAATAAAGTAGAAGTGAAGTGTTTAGAATGTTTATAGCTCAGGAGGCTGAGGCAGGAGGTTGTTGAGTTCAAAGCCAGCCTCAGCAATGTGAGGCTCTAAGCATCTCAGTGAGATCCTGTCTCTAAACAAAATACAAAATAGCAGCTGGGAATGTGGCTTAGTGTTTGAATGCCCCTGAGTTCAATCCTTGGTAATAATAATAATAATAATAATAATAATAATAATAATTTGAATTTAAAGGGTATCAGTTACAAGGGAAATAATATTCTTGACAACTACTTCAGGCATGTAATAAKATCACAGTGAAAATGAATTCAATGACTTTTTGAAGTAACTGAATTCATAGCATATAGCACTAATAAGATATCACTCTTTGTGATGATGCAATCTGACACATGGGAACACACTAATCCAAGCCTCCTCCCAGAAGAGCAAAATACACATTAAGTTACCTCCTAGATTATTCTAGAAGAAAAAATGAAAACAAGGATTAGTATTCCTTTCTTTTAATATATCTAAACAGGCTCATGTGGCTTAGATATAAGGCAATATTAATTAAGCAAGTTAATTTGTCGGATTATGTACTAAAACAGGTTTCTTGAAAAACACTTCAGACCTACTCTCAATTAGATGCTTAATTTCTCTAGGTTCCAAATGTCACTGTTACTTGGAAGAGACATATTGGAAGCACTTATTATTTCTCCTAGGTACCAAGGACTTGAATGACAGCTTACATCTTGCTACTATAAACTACTGAATAGTACCTTTGCGCAGAAAATGTCCTTTATCATTTCTCACTCCAAGTTCATACTTTGTAATACCATGATAATTTGCTTGTGGATTAGTCTTCATGTTCTGAAATGAAGCCTGTTTCACAACAGTATCCACAACTTCTTCACTAAGTTCTTTCTCAAGAAATCCACAGATTTTCAGCACTGCACTTCTGAGGTCCTGAAAGAGTCATGAGTATGCATGAGTTACAGCTAAACACACAACATTTTCATATTCTAGTACAATTGATTCCTGGAATGCAAAGAAGTATCATCATATGAACCATGCAGTTTGTTATGAGAAGAGTATGGGGAAACAAACTGACATGATTATCTTAATTGATGCACAAAAAACATTTAACAAAACCCAACATCTTTGAGCATGGGAAGAAGATTACCTCTACATAGGGAAGAAGGGTGGGAGAGAAAGGGAGTGAAAAAGGGAATTGCATGGATGGTGGAAGGAGACCCTCATTGTTATACAAAATACATGTGAGAAAGAAAAAAAAAGATTAGTGTTACCCTAGAATAGGTAGAGAGAAGTGATGGGAGGAGAGGAGAGGGGCTGGAGAGATAGGAAGTATAGTAGAATGAAACAGACATTATTATTACTGTGTGTAATAATAATGCAACMTGTATACTCAGAAAAATGAGAAATTATATCCCATCTGCTTCAAAAGTATAATATGTCAAGATCATTGTACTGTCATGTGTAACTAATTAAAACCAAATACAAATGAAAAAAATTAAATGTTAAAAAAATACTCACTGATATTTACTCAGACAATAAAATTTTAGCTTAAAAAAAAAAAACCCAGAAGGAAGGCCCGCTCGCTCGTCTAGGCACGGACAGAAGGCGGCACAGAACAGAGGTTTTGCTTGTGGGACTCCAGACCTAAGTCTGGACACAGCACAAGGTTAACCCAGCACCCCCCACCTCACCAAACATCCTGTGCAGGTAATAGACGGAATCCATCTTGGAAAACCTTACTGGCCATCTTTTGGTGGGCCTGGCTACCAACACGGTTCTGCAGCTGATCAGGTACCCAGTTTCCAACTCCCCCACCCCCAGAGGTGATAATTCAAAAAATTTCCCAGAAGCTTTTGGGGGGCGTAGCTATCAACGCAGAACAGCAACTTTACAGGCACCTGGTTTCCAATTCAGAGACTAAGAGTAGGGAGGCTCCAGGTAGAAGCTCAAGCCCTCTCACGCTGGCTACCTCCACCACCCTGAATGCAGAGACTAAAGCTAGGAATAGACAACGCCACCTACTGAAAGAAAAGGAAACAGTTCTGAGACTTCTTTTTCTTCTTTCTTTTTTTTTCTCGCTCTTCTCATCCAATCTCCTCTACCCTTCCCCCTCTGGTCCTCACAACCTCAACATATGTGAATCCAAGAACTTTGCATGAAATTAGAGTTTAAGAACTGAATCACCTGAATAGTATAATATAGAGGAATTGCATAGGCCCCACCTCACCCCCCCTTTATTTTTTTCTTATTTTCTTTCTCCCTCTCTTTCTTTCTTTCCTTGTTATTTTTTCTCTTTTCTTTTTTCTTCTTCACCCTATCCCACTTTCAATCTTATTTTACTTTTTATATGTAGGGTAATTTTCTAAATACACATAAGGAGTTGAAGTTATACAATTTTCTGTAAATTATCCCTGTCTATTCATTAGAGTTCTCCTCTAAAGTTGCTAAGTTAGAGTAATACTATAGCCTTACTCCTTTCCCCCTTAACATGRTGTCCTACACCTGACCCCCAGATATGGTATGCCTTTTATGGAACTAATGACTGTATTCTAAACAATAATTGAAGCCAACATCTGTAGACATAGAGTCTAACTATAAATGTAGTAATAATGAAAACTTGCTCATAGATGATGTGTTATTGATATTTGGAACTGTTAACATTGTTTTTCTCCACAAAAGAGAGATTTTCGGAACTATATAAGAGCAACATAAATATATAAGGGGAAAAATATTAACACAACAGTTACACAGAGCTGGAAGGAAATGTGAGTAATATGAAAAGACAAGGAAAGAAAGGACCACAAACAATGCAAGACAAGTAAACATTAGAAGAGGTAACATCTGCAGCAGAAGGAACGTCAGATAAAGATTTCAGGATATACATGGTCAGATGATCTGGAGTCTTAAGAAATTTATTAGACAGCAAATGCAGACAATGAAAGTTCACTTTGACAATGAATTACATAAACAAATCCAAGAAGCAAATGATCAACTGTACAGGGAGATAGAGGTTATACAAAAAACAAACAAACAACAACAACAAAAACCAGAAATCCTGGAAATGAAGGAAATATAAACCAAATTAAAAACTCAAATGAGAGGATCATCAGTAGAGTAGACCAATTAAAATTCAGAACTTAAGTCAACGAAGACAAAATATATCATCTTGAAAAGAGCCTGAACAACTCAGAAAAACTGATAAGAAACCATGAGCAGAACATCCAAGAAATCTGAGATACCATAAAAAGACCAAACTTAACAGTTAATTGGGATAGAGGAAGGTATAGAGGTCCAAATCAAAGGAATGAGCAATCTGTTCAATGAAATAATTTTAGAAAACTTTCCAGACATGAAGAATGAAACGGAAATCAAAATCCTAGAAGCCTATAGGACACCAAATGTAGGAAACCACAAGAGACCCACGCCAAGACACATTATAATGAAAATGTCCAACATACAGAACAAGGAGAGAATTTTAAAAGCTACAAGAGAAAGGAGGAAGATTACATTTAGGGGTAAACCAATTAGGTTAATGGCTGATTTTTCATCACAGATGCTGAAAGCCAGAAGATCCTGAAACAACGTATTTTGAATGCTGAAAGATAATGGGTTCCAACCAAGAATCTTGTATCCAGCAAAACAAAGCTTCAGGTTTGACAATGAAATAAAAACCTTCCACAATAAACAAAAGTTAAAAGAATTTGCAGCTAGAAAACTGGCCCTGCAAAGCATCTTGGGCAAAACATTACATGAAGAGGAAACAAAAAACAACAATGAAAATCAACAGTGGGAAGTAGTACAGTAAGGAGAAAAACTATTCAAAGAGGAAAAACAAATCAAGTTAAATAACAAAAATAAACAAACATGGCTGAAAGTACAAACCATATCTCAATAGTAACCCTAAATATTAATGGATTAAACTCACCAATCAAAAGACATAGGCTAGTAGACTGGATTAAAAAAGATCCAACGATATGCTGCCTACAGGAGACTCATCTGATAGGAAAAGACATACACAGATTGAGGGTGAAAGGTTGGGAAAAATCATACCACTCACATGGACCTTGGAAGCAAGCAGGGGTGTCCATACTCATATCAAATAAAATAGATTTCAAGCCAAAGTTAATCAAAAGGGATAAAGAAGGACACTACATATTGCTAAAGGGAACCATTCACCAACAAGACATAACAATCATTAATATATATGCCCCAAACAATGGTGTAGTTATGTTCAACAAGCAAACTCTTCTCAAGTTCAAGAGACAAATAGACCACAACACAATAATCATGGGTGACTTTAACACACCTCTCTCACCACTGGAAAGATCTTCCAAACAAAAGTTGAATAAAGAAACTATAGACCTTAATAACACAATTAATAACATAGACTTAATTGGCATATATAGAATATATCAACCAAAATCAAACAGATACACTTTTTTTCTCAGCAGCTTATGGATCCTTCTCAAAAATCGACCATATATTATGCCATAGGGCAACTCTTAGCAAATATAAAGGAGAAGAGATATTAACTAGCATTTTAACTGATCATAATGGAATGAAATTGGAAATCAATGATAAAATAAGGAAGAAAAATTCTTACATCACTTAGAGAATGAACAATATGCTACTGAATGAACATTGGGTTCCAGAAGACATCAAGGTGGAAATTAAGAAATTCTTAGATTTAAATGAAAACACAGACACAACATATTGAAACCTATGGGTCATTATGAAAGCAGTTCTAAGAGTTAAATTCACTGCATGGAGTTCACTCCTCAAAAAAAGAAAGATCCAACAAATAAATGATCTCACAATACATCCCAAAGCCCTATAAAAAGAAGAACAAATCAGCAGAAAATGCAGTAGAAGGCAAGAAATAACCAAAATCAAAGCTGAAATTAATGAAATAGAAATAAAAGAAACAATTGAAAAAACTGACATAACTAAAAGTTGGTTCTTTGAAAAAATAAATAAGATTGACAGACTCTTAGCCATGCTAATGAAGAGAAGAAGAGAGAGAACCCAAATTACTAGCACATGGGATGAAAAAGGCAATATCACAACAGACACTACAGAAACACAGAAGATAATTAGAAATTATTTTGAAACTTTATACTCCAATAAAATAGAAGATAAAGAAGGCATCGATAAATTCCTTAAGTCACATGGTCTTCCCAGATTGAGTCAGGAAGATATACAGAACTTAAACAGACTAATATCATGTGAAGAAATAGAAGAAGCAATCAAAAGATTACCAACCAAGAAAAGCCCAGGACCGGATGGTTATACTGCAGAGTTTTACAAAACCTTTAAAGAAGAACTAATACTAATACTCTTCAAACTATTTCAGGAAATAGAAAAAGAGGGAGTACTTCCAAATTCATTCTATGAGGCCAATATCACCCTGATTCCAAAACCATACAAAGACGCTTCAAAGAAAGAAAATTTCAGATCAATATATGTAATGAATATAGATGCAAAAGTCCTCAATAAAATTCTGGGAAATCAGATACAAAAACATATCAAAAAAATTATACACTATGATCAAGTGGGTTTCATCCCCAGGATGCAAGGCTGCTGGTTCAACATACGGAAATCAATAAATGTAATTCACCACATCAATAGACTTAAAGATAAGAACCATATGGTTATCTCAATAGACACAGAAAAAGCATTCAACAAAATACAGCATCCCTTTATGTTTAAAACACTAGAAAATCTAGGGATAACAGGAACTTACCTCAACATTGTAAAAGCTATCTACACTAAGCCTCAGGCCAGCATCATTCTAAACGGAGAAAAATTGAAGGCATTCCCTCTAAAATCTGGAACAAGACAGGGATGCCCTCTCTCACCACTTCTATTCAACATAGTTCTTGAAACACTAGCCAGAGCAATGAGACAGAAGAAAGAAATTAAAGGCATAA